CAAGAATTCATGAATATCAGCACTTTCTAACCATTTTGTTGGGTTAATCCCTTGTTTCAGTTGGAGAAATAAGCATTTCTCTTGCATACATTACAGCAGTGCGTGCACAAAGTGAAAAAGTACCTCTCCGTCAGGTTCTCTGATGTAATGACGAGTGAAGTTTCATGTATCGGGGTCACACAGTTTTATTTTTTGTCTATCTCAGCAGCTCCTTTCGAGAGAGTGGGAAATCTGACGTGTGGCTGGTGCATCAAAACACACATGACCAGCGGTAAACACGACAAGCATTAAAGAAGTCTCATCTCATCTGATTTTTTGTATGTCAAAGTCTTGATTTGAGTGGCTCTCAACCACAAAGGTTTATACATAAAAGTGGGCTGTGAAATGACCGACCTAAACGGAAAATAAATTGACCAAAAACTCCACTGACACGGCAAACACGTGACTCCTCTGAAGGCATCTGACGTGGAGCAAAACGCCTCGTGGCACCCAACTGGTTCCTGGGAGCCGGGTGGCGGGGGGGGGCGAATTGTCCCCTCGCCCGCCACCGAACCGAGCATCATGCCTCGCAGCTATGCAATTATTTTTGCACTGCGTCCAATATCAACTTGAGAGCAATGCAAATTATTTAAGACGCGCTTTTCAGGGCTCGCAATTATAATAATGATGATCTCAATTAGCGTTGCCATTGCCTCGGACTATTTAGCAGGCAATTTTGCAGCCCGAGGGCGAGGGTCTTCTCGGGAGCCGCCACGCATCGTCAGGTCAGAAGGGCTGGAGAGAGGAAGAAAGAGACGCAGAGAGATGGAGAGACGGCACTCTTAATCAATAAACTGTAAGACTGGAGATATTTACCACCCAATCCCACAAGGGGACGGTTCATAAACTGACCTAATTGGTCAGTGTTGGAGATGAAATGAATGATGCCATGATCTAATTTAGAAGGGCTCGATTTAAGCCGTTTACCATTGTACTGTACCGAGATGTATCTTAAACGGTGTCAGGAAGTTCAAGGAATAGTTTGCGCTAAAACTGCCCATGCCCTAAATAAAGTTCTAGATCATGATGGCTGCGAAACAGAAAATACACTGACATTCGAGAACAATTGAAGAAGTGGATAAAGCTTTATATAGTGCCACTTTTTTTCTCTCACGATGAGAGTTAGGCCTAGATCACACAAACAAGTAAACGTAGCTTTTTATATTTCATTTGGATTTTCGTATACATCAAACTTGGTTCGACACTGAAAATGAACGTTTTGTGGAACCACCATTTCCAGGAAGTCCTTTTCAGTTTAGACAGGATTTAAAAAAAACTATTGGCTTAAAACATTGCAGTGTGGACCGTTAGCTACTTTGTGGCGCATCACAAATGAGGCTACTTTTCCTGCAACGGTGGAATAAATACATAATTGAAAGTCGGCAGATTGTGGCTAAATAAACTTCTGGTGGGACTTTTGACTTTATACATCTACTCATCCACTAGAAACAGGACACAACAAAAATGCTTCTATTTTGGGCAAATAATCCTGCTTTTGTGGACAATAAATGCTCCTTTAAATCCAGGAGGAAGAACCCTTTTCACAAAAACACAGTGTACATGTTGAATAATCCTTATGACAAAAAGATCCTTAGGGGAGAACGGGGTAAGTTGAGCCAGTGGGTAAGTTGAACCACCCCCTGTAACTAGGCAACGCCTTATCGTTGTAATCAAGTGACCAGAAATTATGCAAGCTCCACCCATTTCTCATTGCCTGTGAAAGAGAGATACTCATTGTGGTCTGGTAAGTAAACATTTTTACAAAAAAACGTTTTTCGCTTGTCAAAGTACATTTTCTAGATGTCAGCTATATCGGCTGTCATGTCAAAAAAAAGTATCCAGGTTTAAACACATATATTGTATATGTTGATGTGTTGGCAGCGTATTAAACCATGTGAATCATTAAGCTAAAGATGACTCTGAATTTGAATGCTAGGCTATTTTTTTCTGAAATGGTGGCTAGGGGGTAAAGTGAACCATGGGCCTTGGGGTAAGTTGAGCCAGTTTTTCAATGGAGAAATTAATGAAAGTAGGCCAAGTTGATAATAAGAGCTCATTGTAGGCTACATTTAAAGTTGAATTTACCCTGTGTTTGATTGGTAAGATGTATGAAATTGTATCACTATTTGTATGATTACTTTTCCTTTTAACATGTTAAAAAAAAATCAATAAATTAAATCGAAATTTATATAAAAAATATTATAAAAACTAAGCTTGTATTTGGTTTGTTATTTATTGTTTATAGTTAACTTTAAGATTTGTTGTAGGTATGCCCAGGTTTGAACAGGTATGCCCAGGTTTGAACCGTGGTTCAATTTACCCCCTGACCTGGA